ACGAAAATGTCGTCGAAGTACGTCTGTACGAAGGTACGCAAAGGGCGGAACAATTGCGTCACCAGGCGATTGAACGTCGCCGGGGCGTTAGACAAGCCCTGCGGCATGACGAGCCACTCCCAAAGCATGCCGCTTGGAGTGCTTACCGCGGTGAGCGGGATGTCACTCTCTCGCATCAGGATTTGGTAGTATCCGTCTACCAAATCCAGCGCACTGTACAGTACGCTCCCGGCCATGTTGTTCAACAACACATCCTTTCGTGGGATCGGTGTTTGGGCCGGCACCGTTGCGTTGTTCAGCTTGTTATAAGCGTGAACCAGACGCCACTTTCCGTTTGGTCTACGAACGCAGAAAGTCGGCGTCGAGTGCGGGGATTTCGACTCCCGCACCATGCCTGCCTTCGCTTTCGCGGCGAAGAAGCCATCAATGACCTCGCACTGTTCGCGCGGGAGAGGCCATTGCCTCGTGACACAATACTTTGTGCCGGGCACGAGATCAATCTCGTGCCGTACGCCTCGATCCGGTGGGAGTTGGGTCGGTGGGTGTTTATTCACCACGTCCGCATGCTCCGTCACCAAAGGATACACCGGATCCTTGGGGTTCTTGAGAATCTCAGAACCCAAGCGCGCCTGACGCTGCTTGTTCATGTCTTCCAGGACGTTCTCGTCCAAGACAGAGGAGGAGTTCAGCTCCTCCTGAGTGGTCTCAGGTCTCATGAGTACCATCTCAGCGATCTCTCCAGCCTTGAGGTTGGCCAGGAAAGACTCAGCCGTCATTTCCTCGAGGTTCAGTATCTCTGCAACCTCTGGCAACGGTTCCAAGTGGACACCAGATGCCTTGACGGGTAAACCCGTCTCGCTATCGAAGATGTGATAACACTCTTCCACCGGCCTTGTCGGAGGAGCCCGGGCCCTGGACTCCGAGTCGCTTGAAGCGACGTCGATCGGAACGAAGTTCGGATCCGACTTGAGGCGGCGGCGGCGTCTTTGCCGATGGCTTCTGTGACGGGGAGCTTTGCTGCCCACGTCTAGGGATGTCGTCGCTACGACATCCGAGGCACTCGTGGCCTCGTGTGGTACTGTTGTACCCACACAGGAAGCGTGTTCAACGCCTTCCTCTTCAGTTAAGGTCTGGGCGACCGCGTGTGGCACTGTGTTACCCACACAGGAAGCGTGTTCAACGCCTTCCTCTTCAGTTAAGGTCTGGGTGGGCCGCGTGTGGCACTGTGTTACTCACACAGGAAGCGTATCCGACGTCTTCCTCTTCAGTTATGGTCTGGGCGACCGTGAGTGGAACTCTGTTACCCACTCTGAACACGCTGTTCTCAGTGTTCATGACAGCTGCAGCTGTCTGCGGAACTAAGTTACCCGCCTGTGGACCTAAGTTACCCACTTGGCCGGCGCCTCTTCTGGGCGCGGCCACCATCAAAACATCCTCGGAGTCGTCATATACGTCGACGACTCCCAAGCATCTGCCGGATGCTTTGGTACCCTGGCAGCCCTCGCGGGCGCCCCGGGTCCTGACAGAGGTGGGAACATGACTCACCAATGCTCTGTCGGACTGCGCAGGGCGGCTGGCACCGATTGCCTTGCCTCGCCAGTCGATCCAGGGCTCGTGCTTCTCAAGCCAGGGCATGCCCAGGATCATATCATAGGGATCCATATCGAGAACAGTGAACTGTTCGAGGCTGTCAAAGTCTTCAAACTTGACAGCCAGATCCACTTGGACGTTGGGGACAGTGACGACCTTCCCGTCGGCCAGTCGCACTGACACCGTCCCGTTGCCCTTGCTTTCTCGCAAAGCTTCGGACAACTTGTTGCTGTTACGAGCAACCGTCTGGCGGCGTGCGAAATTCTTCGACGCCCCAGAGTCAATCAAGATTCTAAAGGGGTGATCGTACCCCCGTACACATCCGTGTACTACGAGCAACCCGCCGCTGCTCTTCGCCGATTCGAGAGTGCGAAGACTCTCAGGGGCTAAGTCCCCGTGGTACGCGCCACCCGCGCACCCATCACGAAGACTTAGTTCTTCCCCAGTAGGGCGCCCCGCCCCTACTGGTTCCCTGCGTTCCCCTGTCCCCGGGATCCTGGCTTCTGCCAGCGACCCTTGAGGACGGGCTTGGGGAAGGACCGTCTGCGGAGTCTTTCCGCGGGACAGTCGCGCTTGAAGTGCCCATCTTCCCACAGCCGAAGCAGCGGATGTCACGCTGTTCGGCGGACCCGAGTTCCATGGGAACTGGTCCGTTGGGG